GGCACCGTGCTCTGTGTCCAGGCCCCGGGGAAGGGGCAGGGACCAGAAGGATGAAACCAGTGCCTGCTGGAGCTTATAGTCAGCTGGGGAAGACAGGCTAAGAAAATAAACCTGCCAAGCACGTCCGGTCAGATGTCCTCGGGCGGGGTGAGAGACGGGAGTGGGAGGGGGCAGGGACCCCGCACCCAGAACCTCAGAAGGGCGCCTTACTTGGCAATAGGGTCTTTGCAGAGGAGATCAAGTGAAGGATCTGAGGTGGGCTCATCCTGGATGAGGGGGACCCTGAGTCCAACGGCAGGTGTCCTTGTAAGAGAACGAAGAGGGACACACACGCAGAGGAGAAGCCCTGTGACACCGGAGGCAGAGACGGGAGGGACGCGGCCACGAGCCCAGGGGCGCCTGGAGCCCCAGAAGCTGGAAGAGGCAGGAAGGAGCCTCCGGAGGGGGTGTGGTCCTGCCCCGCCTGGGTCTCAGCCTTCTGGTCTCCAGAGCTGGGGGATTCACGCCTGTGGTTCTGAGCTGCTCACTGGTCTCCGTTAGGGCAGCTCCAGGAGCCACCAGCCTGTGGGAAGGAGGGCCTCAGTGACAGCCCAGGAGAGGCCCGCAGGGTGACCAGGGAGCGTGGGTCAGCCAGGGCGAGCCCTGCAGTGCAGGGGTGTGGGGAAAGCAAAGGGGCAGCGTGGGGAGGGTGGGAGCGATGGGTGGGGTGCAGCAGGCGCCACGAGAGCCGGCTGGACACACAGGACCCTTCGTTCATAAAGACTGAGGGCCCGGCCACGAGCCCAGACGCTGCCGAACCGCTCCCCCGGGTCTCAGATCAGGAGGGGCTTCACCGGGGGGACGGCATCAGCAACACAATGCAGACGTGACCGCGAAGGGCACCAGCGCTGGGGGCCACCGCTTTCGACCGCCGTTCAGTCTGCATCACCTTCTCCTTGAGGGGCGAGCACATCCTTCGGGGCTGCAGACAAGTGAAGGTCCCTGTGGGGACGGGACACCCGGCGCGTCCACACTTCTCTGAGTCCCGTGGTCCTCGGGCGGCATGGTGGAGGGGAGTGACACCTGCCGGGCCTGCTCCCCGGGAGGACCCGCTCCCAGGTACAACCAGGTCCCAGGCTGGACCTGCCCGTGGGGCCGCGGAGGGAAGTGTCCTGGGCTCCGCGTGCACAGTCCCAAGACCTGCCCGCCTCTCTGCCACCTGAGCCTCGCAGGGCTCTTTTTTTTAAAGTTTATTTATTTTGAGAGAGACACAGACAGCGAGTGGCAGAGGAGCAGAGAGAGGAGGAGACAGAATCCCAAGCAGGCTCCGCCCTGTCCGCGTGAAGCCTCATGTGGGGCTCCAACTCGTGAACCGCGGGATCACGACCTGAGCCGAAACCAAGAGTCCGATGTTTAACCCGCTGAGCCACCTGGGCGCCCCAAACCTCACAGGACTCTTATCCGCTCCCTATTAGCTTTTTAAGAAACAAATTAGGACTCTACTGAGGGCATTTTATGCATGAACGTTTTTCTGAAGTTAATTACCATTTCTGGGGGGAAAAGACTTTTGTGGAAGGAAGGAAGAGTGTGGCACAAACTATGTTTTGCAGGAAGCGCTCTTGATGTTTTAAGAACGTTTTTAAAGCATCAAACATCTGACATGTGGCTGTACGTTTTACAGCCAACACTTTACTCTGCGGCGTCTGCGGCAGGCAGAGGCGTGCCATCAGCGAGCGCGTTGGCACGGCTCCGACTGAAGTCCTCCAGGGGCGAGGAGTGACTCCTTTCTCAGCCGTGTGCGCTGAAAACGCTCCGGGACGTGACGGAGAACTAGGCCGTCATCCGTGCGATTCAGGTGCTCATCTCAGGACACATCGTTTCCTCTATGAAACGCGAATTAAAGTGGCACAGGGTTACTGGGGGACTCCCGGGGGGCTCAGCAGCGGGTGGAGCAACCGACTCTTGCTTCCGGCTCAGGTCACGGTCTCAGGGTCATGGGATCGAGGCCTGTGTCGGCCTCAGAGCTCAGCTCTCTCTCCCTCGGCCCCTCTGCCCACTGACGCTCTCCTCTTTCTGAGATAAAAAAAAAATACTTTAAATAAAATAGGGCGGCAGGAGGTTACTGGGACGCTTGCCCCCCCGGAGGGGCCGGAGGAGCTCTCAGCCAGTCACTGGGCAAGCTGGGCCCTCAGCTGCTGTCCTCACTGTGCCGTGTCCTTTGCACGTGGCAGCCGCGCCCACCAGCCCCACAGGACGGGCGGCACCTCGACCTGCGTCTCCTGGGCTTTGTCGCTGGGAGAGGACGTAGGTAAACAAACAGCCCGTTCACGTTACGCTCTGGTTTCCCTTCAAAAGAGCTTCCTGAGACGCAGTTAGTGTTCTGAGCAGCAGAGACGTGCTGGTTGGGATCGCGGGTGACGGACGCACGGAGCCCTTCCTGCTCAGGACCCTGCTTTGCCCACGTAGAGCCGCGAAGACGTGCCCAGTGCCCCTCTCACGTAACACGTCGGCCAAACACACGGAGCCATCTGTGCCTAGCGAGCGTCCCTGGGCGGGTCACGCACACGGCCACCCAGCACTCCGTGCGCGTCGGGGCTGCCGCGTGTCGTTTCCACGGTCCGCGCTCCTCCCGCCCCTCCCTCCCAGCTGCGGAACCCAAGCCACTGGGCTGCACAGGGCTCTCGGTCAGCCGTCGTGTGTCTGTGCCCGTGGGAAGGGTTTCTCCGCGGTGAGAATCTGTGCCTCAGAGCCCTGAGCACCAGTCCTCCCTGCCATGCCCTGCCCGCCCGCCCGCGGCTGGACATCAGGTCTCTGTAACCGCGGCCTGACGCGATGCGCTCATGGGGACTATGGGAAGGGGCCTTACCATCGGGACCCAGTAAAAAGATGGGTCCTCTCGGGTAACTCGTTCTCGAAATTCAATGGATACGGTCCACAAAATTCCAAATACGCGAAGACGTGTTTAAAGCCAACTTCAAATCCCACACAAGATCGTCACTACTTTCTGAAAATTCTTGGGGAAAAAAGCATTCCGTCCGCTCTCCCTCAAAACCACTCCCTGAGCCCGTCACGGAAACTGCGAACCAGAGGAGGAAACTATTTTCACCGGGCCTCCGCGAGCGGTTCCCCCCGACCTCTGTGACTCCAGCGTGCGGACCTGCCAGACCCTCCGTGACCCCTCCTGCGCCCAGACTCCCTGCAGGTCCACACACCTGCCAGCGGCTCCCAGCATCCCGACCCGAGGGTCTTGGGCACACCCCGCCCCCACGGCACGCACACGTTTCAGACGCCCGCGCAGCCAGCGGTGGAAGCAAGCGCTGCGTCCCGGCCAACCCCTCAGGCGCACAGCCACGGGGGTCCCGGCTCATTCGCAGGCCCTCTGCTGTCAGCCCGCTCAGGCCGCAGGGCAGGACGCTCATCGGGTCGCCCATCTGAACTTCCTTCCTGCAATGCCCTCCCTTCACCCCTTCCCACTAAATCCAGTGATTTCCCCGAGTCCCCTCGGTTCCTGCAATTTCTCCCAGTGGAGACAACCAAGCTCTCCCTGCTTCGAGCACCCGAGGAACTTAATCCCCACTTGTCTGTGCCTCCTTGGTTGCCCTACAGAAATACGTCCTGTTCACCCAAGTGGCCCTCCTCGGGCAGGGCTGGCCTGCCAATACCTCCAGCCCCAAGAGCGTTCACACAAGGTCACACAGTCACAAAATACAAGAATTCACTTCTGAGTGGTGTTGGGCTTTATGACCGCAACGTACCGAAACACAAAGCGGGCAGTTCACGTAGTACGAGCTCACATTCCCGGATGCCGCGAATGCCACTCTGAGGACCTCAGCGATCCCGGGGAATACGAATGCCATGTTGGGGACCTTAGGTATCCCGGTGACTACGAATGCCACGCCGGGGACCT